GAATTTATTTAATACACGAGTTTCACAATTTGAGTTGAATTACTGAAATAAATGAACTTTTCCACGACATTCTAATTTATTGAGATGCACCTGTATCTTTTCAGTTCTTTAAATCATTTAATATTTCTATATTCAACATTTTTTAAAACATTAATCTTACCATGAATTTATGGATTTAATTGCACTCATGCCACCTCTGATCCTCATTAAATGTCTGAAAATACACCTACAAGCCACTTTTGCGTTCTTCTGTGCCACCTCTGTAGAAATTAATTTTAATACTGATTTCATTTGATTAGTAACTTATTCTTCTTATTCTACTTGTTCTTATTATATGGTTTTATCTAGACTTTTTTAAAAACTTATAAAAAATTTTTTTTTTAATTTGACAAAAGATTACATACTTTTAATAAAGATAGAAAAATGCCATTACAAAGGTAAAAACAAAATTCTACTGTAAATCACTTTAAGGAGTCAAATATCACCTCGTAATGGGAAGGCCATTTTCAAATTTCAAATTTTGGTGCTCCTAAATTTTTTAAGTTAGGAGCACAAGCGCTCCTAAAAAGAAAAATAAGCGTAGAGCCCTGTACTGGTATGCTTTTGTCCAGTGTGTGACATGCGTATTTTAAAAAAATTTTGATTAGATAATCATGCAGTGTTCTAAAATAGAAGCAAATAAAGTGTGAGAGTACACATACAATATCAATAACATATGTATGTAATTTTAATGCTGTACAAACATACATACATACATACATGCAGTATATATATATAATATATATGTATCAACTGCCCTACTTCTCATGAATTGCCATTTTAATGGTGTTTGGAGTTTTGTCTGTGTGTGTATGTGTCTGTTTGTGATGAACTTACTCTTGCCATCATGTGTTCGTAGAGTGTCCAGTAAGTCAATGCTGGCACTGCCCAGAAGTTCCTTCCTCAAAGTGTGACAACTCCACAACTTCAGATCCAAACGACTCTGAGGAGTCACGTTCCTGTACAAAAATAATAAAAATGTGACCATACAGTACGTGAATAAATGTGGTCATTTAATAAAGTCACCCAGAACTGACATCGCTTTTTAAAAAAGATTTTAAGAGATGGTTTTATTGACTGTTTTTACTTGGTTACCGATTACTGATTCAGTAGTTTTAGGTCATTTGAAATTAAATAAGTAACCAATATACACTGTCTATAAGCTCAGTCACATAATGCCTTACAGGGTGAGGTCTTCATTCCACTGCAGCTCTAGGTGTCCGGTGCGTTTGCCTGTTTTCTTCGTTTCACTGGTCAGGCCGTCAGCGGTCACTTCCACAAACGAACTCAACCGAGAGTGACGATTGGGCAGTTTAGGAGACTGAGGCTTAGCAGACAACACTGTGAGATGAGCAGAACAGAAAAACAACAAACTCTTTCAACTCTTAAACATTCTGGAATAGACGTTGTGCAAAATTTCAGTGAGAAGCTGAAAGAAATGAAGTTATGATTTAGTGCACATCACCCTCTAGAGGAAACACGGCACAGTGCAAAAACACATGCAGGACTGTGCGAAATTTCAGTGAGAAGCAGTACATTGTATTTTTGGCCAAGTTCTAAATTACTGTGAATCAAACCATTAGAGTTATACATCCCATAATATCATATTTACACTCAAAATGAACAAGTAGTAACAGTAATAGCATCCGGTGGAGGCCCTAGCATTTTGGGGGCCTTAATTTTCTAAATGGGTCCCTTTTCACCTTATTGCAAAGTCTTACTCAGTATATTTGAACTGAACTGAGCTGGACGATGAAATCACTGAATTAATGATGAACCGACTTTAACTGAAAATTGAGTGTTTACTGTTTTGCATTATTACGCACTATTTTTCCTATTGAATACTGTAAAGCTGCTTTGACACAATCTGTATTGTTAAAAGCGCTATATAAATAAAGGTGACTTATATTTATCTTTGAAGATCAATTTATTTCTGAAGCAAACTAACGTAATATTTTAACTATTGCTTTTAGAAAAATGTATCCGCTGTATGCAGAGAAATGTGGGACTGCAGCTTTTAATACAATAAAACAATACACAATTAAATAATGTATAAAGTAAACAAATGTGTATCATCATAATTCTACTACCATTCAACTATCTTGCTTCTTTCTTGTCTTTTTTCCTGTTTTCTGCACCAGACTGATAGCGCTACCTCTTAGGGGTGTGAGAATTGACAAAAATGTTGCCAATATTTGCCACCTTACATTGATTTCCAGGGGCCTTTTTACCTTTATAAGAGCAATATTTTTCTAATCTTATTGAATCTATGCAATATCATTTTTGTAAAATTGTTAAATTTAATCAATATAATAAAATAGAACAATAAGATAAGTTTCCAATCAAATCCTGTTTTGTACTGCGGAAGTGGGACAGAAGCTAAAGCAGCATTTCGATGCATTTACACTGCAATCACAATTGCATAAATAAAGCTATGAGATTACATTTTGAATACTGAAATTTTTTTTTTTTTTTTTTTTTTACAAAATGAAAAAATACTTTAAATATGAAACTAAAACAGCAAGTCACTGGTTCAAACGACTGATTAACTTAGTAACTAATTAAACGACTGTCTTCATGACTGGATCATTAAATCATTAAATCGTTGAATGAAACTGTGTTGATCAGAGGCGCACAACAGTTCCACTGTGGATTTGGAACTATTTCGGTGAAATAGAGTAAAACCAGACAATATTACAATGCAAAACACAATATTAACTTACAAAATCAATAACACATTCATTCACAATCAAGCTGATATTTGGGTAAAACTGTGCAGCGTACACTTGCTTGTGTGATATTGCTTAACTATATCATATTTGGGGCAATTTTGCTGCCATATACTGAATTTTTTAGGCATTCTAACTGCATTCTACTAGGTTACATCATGCAGTAAAATTGTGCACTCCTAAGGCAGTTTTTTCCCCCCCCCAAAGTGAGTGACATACTTGATAAAGTCAGCATCCACATCATTAAAACAACAATTACAGTACATCTGACACATCTGACCCTAACATCTGATGGGCCACCCTAATAATTAATATGCTAACATTTCATTTTCTTTGTTTAATCATACTGAAAGAAGCATTTATTTTAGCCTTGAACTCAATGATGCGATGCGTCTGGCATCGCGCTTCATCCCATCCATTTACAGCCCCTCACGCACGCGCTCTCGCGAAACATGCTCATTTTCTGGCAGAGTGAAAAACATCGCAGAGCAGAGAGGACACAGACAACGAGCTGACAGACAAGACAGAGCAGGTCACTTCTAATAACAGAAAACAAAGGCTCAGCATCCAAATTTTGTTAGTTTTATTAGGAATTATATAGGAAAGATAAATACAGTTTTGGAGCTCTTTATTGGCGTGACGGTTCACATGCGCTCCAGCAATGCCTCAGTTCAGTGCATTCTATAATTAGCATGAAATAAACATCGAATGCACATCCGATCCATGTTGAAAGATACACTACTGTACAACTTAATGTATAGTGTCTCATGTAATCACTCAATGAGTGTTTGAATCGTGTTAATACAGCTATAGTCAAGTCAAGTCAAGTCACCTTTATTTATATAGCACTTTTAACAATACAGATTGTGTCAAAGCAACTGAACAGCATTAATTAGGAAAATAGTGTGTCAATAATGCAAAATGACAATAGTAAACACTAATTTTTCAGTTAAAGGCAGTTCATCATTGAATTCAGTGATGTCATCATCCAGCTCAGTTCAGTCTAAATAGTATCTTTGCAATCATTTGCAATCAAGTCAACGATATCGCTGGAACATTATAAAACATTGTCACATAACTGCAGAAAATCCATTCAGTGTCTCACTGGATTATTACAATTAATGGCAAAATGAATGTTTGGAAATGTAAACTGATATTTCCTACTGACACACTACAGCAAAAGACAGACATAACTGACTTAAAACCACGTTTAGCTGCTGAAAATACTAGTATTCTGATCATTTTGGCCACCACTATATATGTTCCACTCAAACGGCATTAAAGTGTGCGAGACGTGAATTTAACCTGTATTTATTTACAGAGGTATATTATGTCACACGTCTCTAGTAAATTTCGTCTGTGTGTGAAGACGCTGCAAGCACAAATCCGTGAATGAATTAGGGTTGGGCGATGTCTACAAAATTGGCATCGTACGATGTACAAATAACTGACAAGCTACTCAATATCTCGTTCATTATCGAAAGCAATACATCAGCGATTATTAACGCGATATAGCAGTGATCTACGGCTCTGTGTAGTAAATGCCGCTCCATCTGAAAGCACGTGATGGAGATTAACTACTAATCACAGAACCGGCTTTACTGACGAGATGCGCATGACAATCGCATTCGATTATTTGCACAGCCCTAATCTAAAAACAATACCGTTAGTAGGACATAAATGGTACTTTAATCTCTACGGCACGTTTCCGGTCAAGTCAAACGACGTCACCTTTATCTCTTATACAATACAGATTGTTTCAAAGATATTAAATAATAATAATATTGCACTAATATAAGCGGAGTGTATATCTAAGGACAATAGACCAATTTGTTGGCAGAGGATATTTACATGAACTCCACCCGATCAACAGCGCTGCAAAAGATACATGTTTTTCTGCAGTATCAGTGGCGCAGGGAGTAATTAATACGCGAGCCTGTATGCGTTTGACCTGATTTCTAGGCCAGCTTTTGTCAAACTCGTGCTTCTCCTTTTCCTGTCACATATCACATCAGAAAGGCATTTCTTTTCAATAAAAATGAAGTAAATATTTGAAAAGTGGAAATAAAACACCTCATTAATAATACCAGGGCTCTACAGTGCGACCATTTCAGTCGCATTTGCGACTGGAAACTACTGCGTACGACTATGAAAAAATATTTAGGAGCACCTGTGCGACTGACCAGATCAGCATTTATGTTTGCGATGAGGGAGCTTCAAAGGTTTCTAACGTACTTAAAACGTGTTTTTGCAGCGTTGAGTAATGTATCACAGACATATCTCACAAATCCTTTCATAAGCAAAGTGTAGACGGTGTAAATAAAAGATTCATTGTGCAGTGTAGAGACAAAAGATGACATACTTTTAATAAAGTTAGAAAAATGCCATTACAAAGGTAAAAACAAAATTCCCTGTAAATCACTTTAAGGAGTCAAATATCACCTCGTAATAGGAAGGTTAATTTTTTTTATCAGAATTTTTTTGATTATTGATTAGAAGGTGCTCCTAAATTTTTGACCGTGCTCCTAAATTTTTTAAATTAGGAGCACAAGCGCTCCCAAAAAGAGAAGTAAGCGTAGAGCCCTGAATACATGTTATTAGGCATGCTTAGCTGTCGGTGTAGGGAGGTTTGTCCCAATAAAGTGGCATTTATCTAATAAAATGTATAAGCATTATAATTTATACTCAATATGTTATTGCATACTGTTTTATTATGTACTACGGTACTGAAGTATAAATATCTGCCACCTAACTACTATTACACACGCCTGCTGCTAAAGCTTCTATTTTAGTGTAAACTGAATTTATTTGCACTTTGTGTAACTGGAATATATCGCTTTCTCCACTTAGTGTAACTGCCAAAAATATCACCATTCAGTTAAAGACAGCTCAGTGTTGATTCAGTTTTGTTCAAGTTCATCATCCATTATGAAACAAGTTCAATTCGGCTACATAATTGTTTACTAGTATGAACCCTTATAAACAAGCCTCTGTAAAAAGAACGGTTAGTGCATTTATTTGTAACGTAACAACCTCGACAGCTGTGCGGAGTTAATGTTCAGTGTTTGTCATGTGACAGCACTTAAGCATACTACTCTGAAACATTTGTTGCTTGTATATGGTTTCACACACTATTCTTTAAAAAATAGGAGGCAGTATGCACTGTGTACTGGGCAGTAAGCAGTAAGCTAGTATGCCATTTCGAACACAGCCATGCTAAATATTCAGAGCAGGGGACTGGAATCGAGAACCACTTGCGTATGTAGCAGGGTAACGTTACAATAATATATGCAGCACAAACTGCTTCTTTTCATTTTCGAAAGCAGAAAAAAATAAGTTTTAGTATACAGCTAGACATCTTTCTGCTCCAAGACAGTTATGTAGTGTGGATAACATATTTATATTATTAAATAAGCCACAAAGACTATGATTCCAAGATCAAAGACCATCAAGATGCCAGGAAAAACGTACTTGGATTCCTGTAAAGAATATTCAGTCAAATGTGAACTGTGAGTGAATGTGTCCTGACATGATCTAGCAGCGATGAAGTTATGATTCAGTGCACATCACCCTCTAGAGGAAACACGGCACAGTGCAAAAACACATGCAGGACTGATGCGTCACATCAGCTTTTAAACCACATCACTTGCAGATAAATCAACCACAGTGCTGGTGCTCGACGGGACTGGACCTCTTACCTTTCAAAGTCAGCTGTGATTTCTCTGTGGCGGACTGAGACACACTGGCTGCTGCCATCATCACATCACAGCCCTAAACACACACACATAATCATCACACTCATCTCCACTCAGCCACTGTACATCACAATCGGAGGATAATAAGCCACAGACGTGTGTGTTTGCGGAGATCTTCATAGTGAGCATTAAAACTCAACAGTGATCATCCGAAGCACAGACACGATGTTACAGTTCAAATCAGGAAGATTGTACACAAACTGTGAAGCAATCAGAAGAAAAATGCTGAGCAGGTCAACAGCAAAGCCATGATATCTGCTTTATAAAGATAAAGGTGAATATCGCAGTCTGACAGCTTCATCGGTCAGTAACTGATTTTGATGAGCAGACACAAACAAACAGCAATAATATTTGTATTAAAACGTACGGTATACAGCAGGGTCAGCTGATCATAACCTCACATTTATATTCGCCTCAGATTTAGACACCTGAAAGACTCATTTCTGCAGTTATTTAATATTTATAATCATTGCTAATTTTAAGTTTGACTTCTCATGATGGGTGAGATAGTGACGCTGTTCGGCTAGCTGAACATCATTTTAAGATCAAAAGTCACAATATAGTTGAAACCGTAAAGAAGAACTCTTAATAAAAGCGGACAGACTTATATGGGATTTAACCGGTTTTCTGTTTATAATAACACACAAAAATGTTGTGATCTCTACCTTTTATCTGCCGTGAGACTGTGAAGCGCTAACTGTCATTTCCGCTTTAATTCAGGGTCATGTGACTCACAGACCAGCGCCGCGGTGGATCATGGGAGCGGATACTCCAAATGTTTTTTGTTTTTTTTTAGCAACTACAACAGCCGAACACACTCGTATCGTTCTTGCAAGGTAAATTTTAGTTCATTTAAATTTTTGTTAATTAAAACATATAATTTATTGCAGCATTCATTAAATTTGTTTTTTTCAGCAAAAGACGATCTTAAATACAATCAAATTAAAAATGTAAATGTAATAAATGTAAAATATGTTTGTTCCTCGAATTAAGATATAAAAAAGCAGAGCTGTATTTATTTCAGACTTTTTATTTCAGGAATATAAATTTGCCTTCCTGAGGATTGCCCCTACTATTTGTGCCAGTTTGTTATAATGAAGGAAAAAAAAAGAAAAACAAGGAGAAATGAATAGTGAATAATCTAGGACAGAGCCACCAGAGCTGTTCAACTCATAAATACAATCAATCCGACATGACTTGAATGCACCAATAGCACAAAACTTACACATACAAGATTACACATAATAAGGATTATAAAGGAAGTTGGAACGATTGTTAAAAGCCAGCAGTGGTACTAAACGAAGAGCCGTTTGGGAGCCCAGCTCTTACTGCTGAGCTGAGCCAAGTGATCTGGCTCCCTAAGAAGAGGCAATAAAGCGGCCACAAGCCCAGTCACTGCACTCTTCTTTCTGGACGTCATGTGGAAGAAACAGAGTTGTTTGAAGTCACTTTTATAACCCTATTGTGATACATTGATACATTTGATAAAACATTTGATAAACTGGATTATTCTGATCCCAGCAGAAGGGTGGATTTCAGGAACAAAAATGTAATAAAACATTCAAACTGGTCCAAAAAATACAGCATTTGTAACATGTAATATATCCCTGAATCCCCAAACAGCTGTCAATATCAAACAAAAATATCATATTTAATATAAAGTTTGTTTGTTTTTTTTACTACATTTTTACAACTACATTGGCACAACCATCAGAGATGGAAGTAGTTATTTGTGTAAATGCAATGCAAAACTAGAATGCAAAACATTGGCTTTTTTTTTCCATCACCATGTCCCTTTAGGGGCTCCGCAGAGCACTACTAATCCAGATCTGAAAAAGTGTGTATCTGGATCCAACCCAATCCAATTTTGCTTTGAACAATCGGCACAAAAGCAAGATGGGTTACCTGATCCTCGATAGCAAAACATGGGATTTCCAAATCCAGATCATTCTGATCCAGATATGGCAGCTGATTCCATATCCACCCAAGACGGGCAGTCCTGAGATAAAAAATAATACATAACTGTTCTAAGTTGCACAGCCCAATAATACCAATGAAAATTAGGACACTGTAGACCTCCTCTCATATGGCAAATATAGAAGTGTCAGACGGAGTCTGGAACATCTGTTATTGCAAATGAATTTAGTGAAAATAATTTTAAGTCGTTGAATTGCTTTGAACAATCGGCACAAAAGCAAGATGGGTTACCTGATCCTCGATAGCAAAACATGGGATTTCCAAATCCAGATCATTCTGATCCAGATTAAACTTTTTGAACAACTGGCCCCATAATGTGAAAACAGCTTTCAGAAGATTTTGAGGGTCTTTTATCTGAGGTGATGATTTTAACATCCCTGGTAGTTTGGAATGTGTATCCACAGAAACAAGCAGCATATTCCCTTCAAAAGGCCCTGCCAAGTGTAGCTCTTTTCGCCAAGAAGATGGCCAAATATGAGAAGGGTATAGAGAATGTGAGCTTGACATAGCCTTCAACTCTATGTCTCAAAAATAAAAGGCTCCAAAAGGGTGTTTTTGTAGTGACGCCATAGAAGAAACATTTTCGGTCCCCAAAGAACCTTTCAATGAACAGTTCTTATTTTGAAGAACATTTAGAAAATCTAAAGAACCTTTTTTCAAATATAAAGAACCTTTTGAAAGGTTCCGTGGATGTTCAAGGTTCTTCATGGAACCATCGATGCGAGTGAATTCGATTGAGTGTATTTCAATGTCTAGTCCTGCTCATCAGATGTAACTTCCAGCCCGCTCCCTCATCTAGATGATTGAATGTAGCTGAATGCAGCTCCTCTAGCCGTATCTGAATTAAGTAATATGTAAACAGCATAATTTTATGCACTAAATCCAGCAGAAACTTCAGCACAATTGGCAGATTTTTAAACACTAATGACAGACATCACTACCTTCACCTCACAGTGATTGGCTGCTGCCTGGTGTTTTTTACTTGAGTATTTTTCAACTTTAGACTCTTGACCACTCTTAACACTTTCTCTGATTCAGTGTCAATTCCACAGTCCCCAATGCGCAAGTGTGGCTCCCTTATGGAGGAATTGAAAATCACTTGTGAATCCTCAGACTTCCCAATCCTTTTCAAGGATGAAGAGTTTGGATGCAGTTGTCAGCATCCATGTTCCCTTTGATCGTGACCAATCGCCCGCTCCCCGCTGAAGAGAAACAGCCCCACAGCATAATGCTTGACAGGTATGGTGTGCTGTGTTTGCTTTTCCCTTGGAGTTCAGTCCAAAAGTTGTTCCAGATTCACAACAGGTGTGAACACACATACATTTGTTCTTAACCCTTTTTCTAATGTTAATGAATTTGGATAAATATGCACTTGGTTAGTCATTTGCATAAATCACACTCATCTCCATATAAGGGCTTTCTACACAACTTCATTTTTCTCTCCTGCTCGCTCACTCCTTCATTCACACTCTTGCCTGATGTGCAACCAGATCCTGTAATTTAATAAACCGTTTTTATATTGGACTAAACAACATATGATCGAGTTTCTAACCTCTCAATTGCATTTTTATATACAGGCTGCATTTTTCATATCATGTCATTTTTATTTGATTTGATGTTACTCAGAAAAAAAGTTTAAAAATAGTTCCATTTCCACATTAAAACAATTATATGATTGTTGCGTATATGCAGGCTCAATGGTACTCATTTTTTAAATTTCTTTTTATTGCATTTTAACTTTACACATGTCCATATACATTTCCATGTAACAGAGAGAACACAAACCCCCTCAAAAAAAAAAAAAGAATAAAAAGATTATTTTACAGTGATATACAATATCACCTCTTTTCTTAGTCTTCTATCAATACATTTCCAACTCCATCTTCCATCTGAAAGGTCCCCAAACTCCATCAAAAATTATGCATCTTTCTCTTAATATACAGTATAATGATGAAATTAAACCTTTTCTAAAACAATTTCTTGTCACTTCTTTTTCCTAGATAGACAATGATGGTATATCAAGGGAATTATTTTGTGATCTGATGATAAAATGTCTTATTTGTAAATACTTAAAGAAATGTTTTGTAGGAATATTGTATGCATTAACTGTTTCCTCAAATGACATACGAGTATTGTTAACATATAGATATGCTATCTTTCGAATGCCCTGGTCAGCCCAAATCTTGAAACCTGTGTCTGGTTTAAATTTTTCATTGCCCCAAATGGGACTAAAACAAGATAAAGGGTAGAAGGCACCTAAATATTTTTTCACATCAAGCCATATGGCAATCATATTTTTAACGATTGGAAACATTTTTTTTGTTTTTGAAAAGTGTTTTGTTTTCCTGTTTGTTTCTCCCCGCTAAAATGGAGGAACGAGCGATGTACATCACAAGCCGCGACCCGATCACCTACGCGAGGGCATTCGTGCCACTCGCCCTCGCCAGCTCCCTCGATGGGGAGACCCTGGTGACGCTGTTCTGGCTCGGAATCACATACCATCGCCCCGCGAAGCTCCCATACACCACCAACCTCGACTGGAAGGAGGCGGTCATCCGGTGTCTGGAGAGCCTCCGATCCCAATCCAGAACCCCTCCGCCGGCCGCTCCAAGGTCAAGCCTGCAGGCCGTTCCTTTTATTTTTTTTTTTTTACCTCAAACCATACGGCAATCATATTTATAATTATAGGATTGGAAACATTTTTTTTTTAAGATCTTTCAATTCTGATGAATATAAACACAAATTTAAAGGCAGGCCAGAATTTATGGCAGCTGATTCCATATCCACCCAAGACGGGCAGTCCTGAGATAAAAAATAATACATAACTGTTCTAAGTTGCACAGCCCAATAATACCAATGAAAATTAGGACACTGTAGACCTCCTCTCATATGGCAAATATAGAAGTGTCAGACGGAGTCTGGAACATCTGTTATTGCAAATGAATTTAGTGAAAATAATTTTAAGTCGTTGAAATAGATGTTTATGTAGGGGGAGGCAGAGGAATGTTCTGGAATAAATATAAACATTTTGGCAAAATATTAATTTTCAAAATAGTTATTCGACCAATTAAAGATATGGGTAAGGACATCCATCTTTCTATAGAGCTACTAATACTTTCAAGAAGTGGATCATAATTTACTTGCACAACATCTCCTGGTTTTGGCACAATTTTAATACCCAAATATGTAAAACAATCAACTATGTTGAAGGTTGCAACACAATTAGGTTGCTGTCTGTCAATCTCACTTAGAATAGAACTTTTAGAACTGTTCATTCTGAATCCAGAAATTTTTCCAAATGTACTGATAAGATCTAATAAAGCAGGAATTGATGTATCAAGATGCTTTGGGAAAAGAATGACTTCATCAGCGAGTAACGCAATTCTGTGTTCTGTCTGTCCAAACTTAATGCCTGTTAATTCCACATGTTTTTTTTTTACTGCTATTGCAAAAGGCTTGATGGAGAGGGCAAAAAAAGGTACTAAATTTTGTTGTACATTTGGAATATATACCCTAGTAAAAAAGTAATAAATTTAAAATACATTTATTTCATACTAGTTCAACCTATTTACATATTTACTGACATTGCTCGAGACTTACTGATATAAAAATTATAATGAAACTTTATTTGGAGTAATCAGTGTTGGGGAAAATTACTTTTAAAAGTAATGCATTACAATATTGCGTTACTCCCTAAAAAAGTAACTAATTACGTTATTACTTACTTTTTATGGAAAGTAATGCGTTACGTTACTTTT